GGTGTCCGTACTTGATATAAAATTCCTATCGCATATAATATGAAAATAAGATAAAATCATTATAGTAAAAAAAAAAAGTAAAAGAACAAAAAATAGCACTCAATGTTAAATAGTTGAACTCAAAACTGGAAAAATTACTTGATATTAGTGATTTTATAAGTTATTGTTAGGATAAACTAAATGCTGGTATATCAACTTATTTAACTTAAACTTATCTTAACTTATTTTAGTTACAAGCAATAATACAAAAAAATAATAAGTTATCCTTAGGAAATACCTAATAAATATTTATGTTTTTTCTTATTATATTCAATGCAGTTAGGCAAATTATACTCTTTTAATACTCTCATAAAAATCACAAACAAAAAAATGCTTAAATTACGATTTTTTTATGTTCTATAACTTAAATTTTGGAAAACGTAAAAAAAAATACATTTTACAATTGAAAAATTGCATTTTTATGAATTATAAAAGTAATAAATTAATAGTATAATAATAATAGTATTACGTAATAAAATAACATGTTTTATTTTTTATTTAGACTTTGTATTACAATTAGTCTCGACTGTTATTATCTTCTTTAAATATAAAAAAATATATATATATATAAACATTGATTACAACTTAACTAAGAATACAATTCTTGTAATCAAACGAAACTTCGTTAAATTCAAAATTCAGCCAGGAATAAAAGAGAAATAGTAAATACGATTGCAGGAGGAAGTGATCGGATAGAAAGAATAGACTTCAAATTGAAAGGGATCTTCCTAGAATTATATTAAATTAAGAAGAAATTAGGCTGCGTGGATAAAAATGAACAAAGAAAATATGGGGAATGTCACAAATAGAGGGAAAATTATAATGGCACAAAGAAAGGAGTCTTTCAGAGAAAGTTTGAATAATTGAAAAGAAATTAACGTATAGCCAAATCGAAGTCAAGAGTAGGAAACTATTGTTTCTCTGGGTAAGTTAAGATTATAAAACCACAGGTTAATTGGAATGATAGTAACAATTACTTTGTACCAAGAGGCGAAATGGGGAGAAAATATTTCCCATTAGTTGAGCCACAGTTTGTACTTTTTCAGGATGGGACAAAGTCAACCGAAAAGATAGGATTGTTAAGTGAACAACGCAAGGTAGAATTTGATTATGCTAGAGAGTCGGCAATCTTATTCCCAAAGATTCCTATTTAGCCTGGATATAAATTGAATGTCAAAGCATTAATAAAATAGCTTAAAAGTTACAAATTTAATTACTGTTGTAAGTTATGACATATATTGTAAGTTATAATTACTTGGATGGTTATCGTCTTGGTTTGCAAATATTTTAGCGGATATTACATTATAAGCTTATTGTGTTAATTTAAGATATATTACATTTCAAATTATTTTTTTGCTTCATCAGAATTTACCATGCAGTATTATCTATACCTATTTGTGAAATTGTTATTTACGCATGTAACATATTAATGTACACATTTCGATGTCACGCATCAACATACTTGATGCCGTCATAATAATACGCTGGTGTGTATAATAAATCGAGCAGTTACACTTAAAAAATACACACTCTCGTGGCATAATATTACAGACAATGTAACATTATAATATATCATGTATGAGATAAATCGATATATAGCAGAATTCACTGTCGAGCGCACGTATTCGTGCACTTCATACACTACACGTACCTAATAATATATTATTTTCGTTGAGCGCAAATCGTTATGCAAAAACAACGGTGAACGCCAAGAAATTCCACATTATACGATTATTATTATTATTATTATTATTATTATCATTACTGTTATTGTATTGTACAGCGTAGAATTTTATGGTTGTATTCAATCTCTTATGAATCCGATGGCTGGCGTATTCACAAATCCGCCAACAAAATTCGCAGCGACGTTTTGCGGTCTTACCGAGATACGTGCCTATTCTTATTGTTATTATTATAGTGTTATACTTCGCTGTGTTGTACCTTATTGCGTAGTAGTACTGTTGCAGAAACTGTAGCTCGTACGTTTCGATAACAGCTTTTTCGCCATTCACAGACTTCACCGATCGACTATCATAACAATTACCTTATGAACGCATAACAATCGATTTCGAATACTTCCGATTTCTAATTAGTTGATTGTGAATATGATTACATCGAACGATTAACGTTTACGTTTCGATCGCGACGACAAACCGATCAATAATGTGACAAAAAAATGCGATAAGAATAAACGACCATAGTGTACACTGCATAGAGTTATTCAGGATCATTACTTGAAATCGGTGCGTAAAGCCATCGATAGCATGGGACCGACGATTTAAAAAAAAATAAGTTGCGTTGAGATTAATTTGAGGTCGATCGCTGTGTACTTTACGATTTTATTTCATATTCCGATGTACTATTCGGCGGTATAA